GGGGCACACACAGGGTAGGGGCACACACAGCAGGGTAGGGGGCACACAGCAGGGTAGGGGGCACACACAGCAGGGTAGGGGGCACACACAGGGTAGGGGGCACACACAGGGTAGGGGGCACACAGCAGGGTAGGGGGCACACACAGCAGGGTAGGGGGCACACACAGGGTAGGGGGCACACACAGCAGGGGAGGGGGCACACAGCAGGGTAGGGGCACACACAGCAAGGTAGGGGGCACACACAGGGTAGGGGGCACACACAGCAGGGTAGGGGGCACACACAGGGTAGGGGGCACACACAGCAGGGTAGGGGGCACACACAGGGTAGGGGGCACACACAGGGTAGGGGGCACACACAGCAGGGTAGGGGGCACACAGCAGGGTAGGGCACACACAGCAGGGTAGGGGCACACACAGCAGGGTAGGGGGCACACACAGCAGGGTAGGGGGCACACACAGGGTAGGGGGCACACACAGCAGGGTAGGGGGCACACACAGCAGGGTAGGGGGCACACACAGCAGGGGAGGGGGCACACAGCAGGGTAGGGGGCACACACAGCAGGGGGGGGGGCACACACAGCAGGGTAGGGGGCACACACAGCAGGGTAGGGGGCACACACAGGGTAGGGGGCACACCAGCAGGGTAGGGGGCACACATAGGGTAGGGGGCACACACAGCAGGGTAGGGGGCACACACAGGGTAGGGGGCACACACAGCAGGGTAGGGGGCACACACAGCAGGGTAGGGGGCACACACAGGGTAGGGGCACACACAGGGTAGGGGGCACACACAGCAGGGTAGGGGGCACACAGCAGGGTAGGGGGCACACACAGCAGGGTAGGGGGCACACACAGCAGGGTAGGGGGCACACACAGCAGGGTAGGGGGCACACACAGGGTAGGGGGCACACACAGCAGGGTAGGGGGCACACATAGGGTAGGGGGCACACACAGCAGGGTAGGGGGCACACACAGGGTAGGGGGCACACAGCAGGGTGGGGGGCACACAGCAGGGTAGGGGCACACACAGGGTAGGGGGACACAGCAGGGTAGGGGCACACACAGCAGGGTAGGGGGCACACAGCAGGGTAGGGGGCACACACAGGGTAGGGGGCACACAGCAGGGTAGGGGGCACACACAGCAGGGTAGGGGGCACACACAGCAGGGTAGGGGCACACACAGCAGGCGGGGAAGGCAGACCCTCTGCCATCGCATGGGAGCGGCAGGTGGTGCCCGGCGCACGGGGTCCCGGCACTCACCTTGGCGTAGCCGAAGTTGAAGTTGATGGCTTTGGCGTGCCCGATGTGCAGGATGCCGTTGGGTTCGGGCGGGAAGCGGGTGCGCACCTGAGGTGAGGAAGGGTGAGGGGAGCTAGGCCCGGGCGCTCGGCCACAGGGCTCAGGTCACTGCACAGTGAACACAGGCCCTGGAGGAGCAGGTGGGGCCCCTCGCAGGGGGGTCCGGGGGCAGATGGGATGGGCCACGGGGACGAGCCCACGGCTATGCGGACCGCCAGCCGGCCTGGCCACACACACACCTGCCCACCAGTGACGGCCAGGTGCTGCCTCAGGAGCTCCATGGTGTGCGCAGTGGTCACGTAGCCCGGGGTCTTGTAGTTCTCGCCTGCCAGGACGAGAAGGCGCTTTTTACGGGGCTCCCACGCCGGGCCCGGCGCAGCGCTGTCCCGAGCCCGCCCCGCCGCGCCTGCCCGCTCAGCTCACCAGGCTTGTGGAACTTCAGCGCCTCCCCCCGGAGCTGCTCCATCAGAGACAGGGCCTGGCCCGCAGCCTCACCTGCGGAGACGAGGACGCTTACCCTCGGGCACCGCCGCCGTGTCCGGCGCAGGTGGCGCTGTCAGGACTACTCATCCTGCGGCCAGAACAGACCCTCCAGGCCCCGCTTCCCCGGACCCAGAGCCAGAGCCAGAGCCAGGCTTCTCGGGCCCCTGAGGCCCGTCTCTGGGTGGAGAGGACAAAGGAGACCCCAGGACTTCGAGTCTGACGGCAGAAAGCAAGGTGTGCGGGACACCCGAGGGGACAAGGCCCATCAGGCGGACAGCCCGCAGCCAGGGAGCTGAATGGGTGGCGGCCCTCGCTCTCACCGTTCTCCACCGCGTCCTTGGCCGCCCTCTGCTCTGTCTCTTCCGGCCGAGCCTTGGCCACCTGAGAAAAGCGGGGTCAGGGCTCTCAGGTGGGGACTTGGGGTCACTGGGGTCAGCTACTCCCTTTCCGGCCTGAAGTCTCCCTCCACCACCGCACCCCCAGGGCCCGGGACCCTGCTCCGCTACCTTCGGCTTCTTCTCCAGATCAGTCTCCCTCTTGGGACCCAGGAGGTGGAGGACCTGAGCAGAGACCACAGTTAGGCCTGGACAGGAGCCCGGCTGAGCCCACCCACACCTCAGCCCTTCCTGGCTGCCCACCAGCACCACTGAAAAGCCCGCCTGGCCACCCACCCTGCTCCTCACGGCTCTCCGGCCTCCTGAGAGCCATACTGGTTTCAGGTGCCACTTAGGGAGACACTATGGCCCAGCATCAAGATAAGCTGCTATCTCAGCCAGCACCCTCCTGTCTCCTAAACGGAGATCTCGACTTCAAATGCGGCGAGAGCTACCCTACTGACAAGGCGAGGAGATGGAGGTTCAGGGCAGTGACTCCCAAACGAGGCTCAGCCCGAGGCCACGCCTCTCACTGCCTCCTCCACACCAGGCTCCCTATTCACCGCAGAGCAGGCCCAGTCCCCGCCTTGGCTGCTGTTCACCCCTCAGGGGCCTATACCCTGTGCATGGCAGGTCTGTGCCTGCTTCAGCTCAAGGAGCGCCCACCTGCATGTCCACTTCGTGCTTGATCATCTTGCCATCCGCCCACTTGAGCGCAGCCCGGGCCTCTCCTAGAAACGTGGGCACAAGGAGCTGCGGGAAGGCCAAGGCAGGCCCTTCCCACCCTCTTTGCCAGGAAGGGGGCCAGACCGACCTCAGGAACCAGAGCCCCCGCCCAGCCAGACCCCCTTCCTTCTTTTTTTTTTAAATACACTTCTTTACTGATTTCAGAGAGGAAGGGAGAAGGAGGAGAGAGAAAATCATCAACGATGGGAGAGAATCATGGATCGGCTGCCTCCTGCACACCCCCTCCTGGGGATCAAGCCCGCAACCTGAGCATGTGCCCTTGGCCGGAAGTGAACCTGGGACCCTTCAGTCCGCAGGCTGACGCTCTATCCACTGAACCACACCGGCCAGGGTCAGACCCCTACCCCTCTGCCACCTCCCTCTTATCACTCCGAGCATCAGTCCCTCCCTGCCCTGCGCACCCATCAGCAGGCCCATGTTGAAATGGTAACGCTCCTCCAGGAGCTGGGGCCGGTGGCGTTGTATGGCGACCTCCACCTGTGGGAAGGAGGCCAAGCGGGAGGTTCAGGAACGCGCCCCCCGGAACCACCCCTCGCCCTGGGTCTTCCTCGGTGGAGAAGCAGAGCCACTCCTTCCCGGGGAGCAGGCAGGGTGCCGGGGAGGACTCACCGCCGCCTCGATCTGCTCGGGCGTCACCTCGATGCCCACCCCACATTCCCGCTCGAAGTCCACGGGGTCGATGGGGTCCAGCGGGTGACTTCGCACATACTCCAGGGCAGCTGGCGAAGGAGGGCGATGAGCGGAGGCATCTCAGCGCCAGGAGGTCAGGAAGGCCGCATTCCAGAAACCCCAGTGACAGCTGGCTAAGCCCTGCACCACCCCCACCGCAGCCCCGGCCGGGAAAGCAGCCCGGGGAGAGGGAGGGTCTCCCCCAGACCTTCCCAGGTCCCCAAACTCGCACAGGGGGCCGGAACTAGGCATCTAAAGAGATTGGGGGGCTCGGCAGGAAGGGGGCCCGGCGGCGGTGGCAGGAAGGCGGTCTCACCGCTCAGCTGGGCCTCGGTGTGGATCTTCTTGTTGGCCACGTAGCGCACGAGGAAAGGGAGGCGCCGGGGATCCCTGAGGCGGGAGGCCACGCCATAGAGCAGGGTCCCGGTGGCCTTGTCGATGGCGGAGCCCAGGGTCTGCTGTGCCTGCGGCCGGGAGGGAGGGAAGCCCCTGAGACGCGCACTGGCGAGGCGGGTGAGCGGACGGGGATCAGGCCCCAGCGCCCCGGAAGGCGCCCGGCACCCGGCACCGGACACCCAGCCCCCGACCCCGGCCCAGGGCGGGGGCTCGCACCTGGGTCGCCGCCTCCCGCAGCTGCGCGCTCAGGGCCGCGTTCTTGAGCGTCTCGCGGGCCTTGTGCTCGCTCAGGCCGAGGCCGGTGAAGAGCGAAACGGAGTCAGCGGTCGCCATGGCAGGAATCCGGAAGCGGAAAGGAAACGCCGGGGCCAAGCTGCATGTTGACGTTGGCCCACTGGCCAATAGGAGAGCGCAGCCGCCGGGGCCAGCCAATGACGTCCTTCCTGGGCGAGAGGGGGCGGGGCTACCCGAGATTGCCGGCGCCGTTTAAAGGGCCGGGTGTGCCTCACGCAGCCCTTCCGGGCGCGGCGTCTCGGCAGGCGCTACGGTTCCTCGGAAGGGCCAGAGGCGGAGGGGGGAGGCGGGGGGCAGGGCTCTGTGCAGCGGATTTCCCCTTCCGCCCTGGAAACCCAGTCTGGTCTCAGGAGCCCCCGTGAGCCGCTGTCCTGTGTCTTGAACTTGGCCCTGGGTCGTCCCGGAAGTCACTGTTTAGCCCTGGAAATCCGGCCAAGACTCTAGGGCAGAGCTGGGGGGACTGGCGCTTTGGGGGCGCTTACTGGACACCCCTGGCAGGAGGGACCTCGCAGAAGGCCTGGGGTGGTTTAGTTTAAAATCTCCCGGCTCACTGACCGTCCCACGCCCACACATGCAAATGCCGTGATAATCCCAAGCAAATTAGAGCTTGGCATCCACCTGCAGGCGTTTGACCGGTTATGTCACTTAAGTTGGGGTTCTGTGGGACAGAAGATGGCCATGGGGCCGGGGCAGGGGTCTCCCCACAGCTTCTCAGGTTTCTTGGAGGCACTTGAGCTGCTGGGGTGGGAGTGGGGGGATACCCCCATCACTGAATCTGGAACCTTAAAGAACAGAAAACTGGAATTCAGGTGTTCAGAGGCCTTGTGATGCTAATACTCCTAAAGGCCTGGCCAGGATGCTGGCCAGTCTGTGTCCGTATTCTGTGTTCTGCTTTGTGGCCATATCCCAGTAATGAAGGGTCCGTGTCTGGATCAACATCTGGGTCCCACATGATGACCAAATGCCAGGCTCTGCCCGGGGCCGCGCACTACATCAGGACCCAGTCGTCTGTGTGTTGGGGCTCCCCACCTCCCCGTGAGCAGGGGATACCACAGCACAGTGATACCACCGATGGGCACCCAGAAGCAGTCACAGCCACACCAGCCCTGTGCTGAGCAGAGTGAGTTCCCATCCCCTCCCTGCTGCATCCTCCGGAGGGTTCACTACAGCACCATGGAGAACCCTGCGGGCCCGGTGGCGCCCCCTCCGTGGGGTGCGGGCCTGCACCGTCCCTGCCCTCGGGAAGCTGCCCGTCACAGGATGAGGCGGTAGTGCTGCCAAGAGTGCCACGTGGCAGCGCGCCGGCCGCCCTCCGGAGCCCTGACTCGCAAGGAGCAGAACTTGGTGAATGGGCCCAGCCCGGGTGGGAGGCTGGCCTGCTGGCGTGAGCCCGTTACTCCTTCCAGGAAAACCACCGAAAAGTGATGAAGGAGACAAGCCAGGCGGCAGCCAGGAGGCCCACTGCGGCCAGCCAAGAGGCAGGGCCACAGCCAGGCCATGGACAGGTCCCTGCGGAGCAGGCCAACCATGAGCATCAGGCAGCAGAGGCCACAGCAGCCAGCTGGCACCCAGGAGGGTCTGTGGCAGGCTGAGTATCAGCAGGGCGGTGGGCCGGGGCACCCAGCACCCCTTGAGCGGTGCCTCCGGCACAGGCAGCCCACGGTGGACAGGCACAGGCTGCACCGTGTAGGCCGGCACTGTCGTGTGGCACACCACCCCTACGTGGTGGGCCCTCCACACAAGGCCAGCACCAGCCCCCAGCCTGCCATCCCCCCTCCGCACGGCCTCCCCCAGCTGCCCAGGTCCCTCTCGAAGGCCATCAGCCCCACATGGCTCTGGCCGTGTCCCCACGGGGAAAAGCCAGCACTGGCCACAGCCTCTTCCAGGCGCTCCTCCATCGCCCTACTGCAGCCGAGGAGCTCCGGTGGGCATGGGGGGCGGGGGGGTGACGAACAGGACTGGAGGACCCGTGTCCTCTGCCTGCCTCTGCCTGGCGCTTATGAGCACCGGCCTCACAAGACTGCCCCCATCTCCCTCGGCTGGAGATGCCCCAGGAATGGAGAGAGGAGGGGGCAGCCTAGCCCCCAGAGGCCAGGAGGCTGCTCCCAGGATTTGCTGTGTGTGTACGTCACCAAGGCCGCGGCTGGGACCAGCCTGCAGACCTGCTGTGGGCGAACAGCCTGGGGCCAAGGTCCCAGGGAAGAGACGGTCTCCCTCTTCCCTCTCCCCGGAAGTTACCGAAGCGGTCCTTGACCCTTTCCCCGATCTTTTGGAGCGAGATCTCCTTCCCCCGGGCTGTCCCTGTGTTCTCCCAGAGCGATCTGCTGGAACTCCAACCAGCAAAGACCCGAGAACGGGCAAGGAGGGAGACCCCATACCTCCGGTTCTCCAGGTCCCCCGACCTGTCTGCTGCTGGAGCCTCACGGGTCCTCGCCCTGGTGTGAGGCGCCCACGGGGTGCCACCCACAGCTGCCTCCATGCGGAACCAGGTCCAGTGGGATGGAAGGGCAGCAGGCGATGGCACAGGGGGCGCCATGATGCACAGGGCCCCCCTCACTCGCCCTCCGGACCAGAGCACTTCCAGGGTCTTCAACACAAGGACACACACACCCAATGGCAGGGAGGAGGGCCGCAGCCCCGGGCATCAGTCACCGAGTCTGCTTATTTAGCATTTATTTTTAAAATATATTTAAACAGCAGCAATCACTTCCAAAATGCAAAAAAAAAAAAAAAAAAAAAAAATTACAATTTTAGAATAAAATTATGTTTATAATGCGAATCAGAAAGAACTGAAGGTACAACTGAGACTCCAATCCCGCGGTACTGAGGGTGTCTGGAGAGCCCAGGGCACTGGTCTGGGGTTCGGGCTGACAGGAGGTTCCGACCTGTGAGGTTCCCACCCTCGTCACCCCCCACTCCCCCGATGGAGCCAGTGTCCTCTGGTTAGAGAAGCAGCAGCGCAGGGCTGGCCTTCTATGGAGGTTCCCCCCCCGGCCCCCCCAGCCAGGGACCTGCTAATCGACCTCCTCCATGTTGCTGTAGGTGGGGGCTGGGCGGTCCGCAGGGGGGGCGAAGCGTTCAGGGGCTGTCCGCGCGGGGGCCGCCTCGGGGGCCTGGCCAGGGCCTAGTCCCTGCAACAGAACATGAGGACAGGGTTGGGGGCTGCCCAGTGCCGCCGGCATCCCTGGGTGCTGGCTCGGAGCTCCGCACCCGAGGGAGGGCCCCACGGCAGGCGCGGCAGCAGCGCATTGAGACAGAGAGACAAGATCAGCCTGGACAGTCTCGCTTTATTGACGCTTTAAATACAGGAAGCTGGTGGGCAGGGCCAGGCCCAGGCCAAGCTCAGAGCAGCAGGACGGACGGACGGACAGCTGGATGGACACCACCCTGTTTGCTCTGCCCCTGCAGGAGCCACAGACCCTCTCCCTCCACACACAGAGCCCGAGCCCAGGGCTGGCCCCAGAGGCAGCATGCCGGGGGGCGGACGGGCGGCTCACAGCGGCGGCCGAGCCCGCTCATCTCCAGTGACTCTGGGACACCAGAGGATAGAACACGTTGAGCACGAGGGCCACCAAGGCTGCCACGGTGCCCAGAACAAAGTACCGGAGGCAGCCCTCATCTGGGGTGGGGGGGCCGCATGGCGGGGGGCCCACCCAGTCCTGGGGCCCCCAGGAACCCCGGGGCGCAGGCCCCTCGGGCACCGGCTCCTCCGCGGCCTCCAGCTCCTGCCAAATCCGGGAAGCCTACAGTGTGCAGAAGGGAGGTGGTGACCCAGAGGCCTGAGGCCCGGCCACGACTCTCCCCCCCGAGGTGACGTGCTGAGCCCGACGTCCCAGGTTAGGCCGCAGGAGGGAGGGGAGGAGCCAGGGCCTCGCAGGCTCAGACAGGGCGCGAGGGCGACTCCTGGCAGCACTCTGGCCTCGAGAAGATTCCACTCAACGTGCCGCTTGCGTGCGGCCCGGGCTGGGCTGCCCACAGAGGGCACTGGCTCTCGGAGGACAGACCTGCAGCCCAGGGGCCTTCTGGCTCCTCCCACATCGAGACCCTGACCGCTGTCTGTCTCTGAGGCTCCTCTGAGTGCAAGTGGAGAGGGCTCAGGCCGGAGAGGGCAGTGAGGCGGCGGCCAGCACAGGAGGGAGGTGACTGTGCCCAAGCCAGGCCCTGGGCACCCAGGGACGTAGGAGACAGAAGACCCCGGAGACTCAGCAGACGCTCCCCTTGGAGCGGGGGACAGCCCCGGCCAGGTTAGGCCGGTCCCGAGGGCACGGGCAGTCACGGCGAGGGGAGGGTGCGGGGGAGGCTGGGAGGCCAGCAGGTGCAGTCAGTCCTGGCACCGTGCCCAGGGAGGCTGAGCAGACACGCCTGTGCCACGTGGTGCCTATGTCCATGCCAGTGGCCGCTCGGTGTGTCCCTCTGTGCCCCTGCACCGCGGAGACCCTCCAGCTGAGGCTTCACGTGAGGAACCCACCTTCCCGCCCCGCCCCGCCCCGCCCCCGCGGCTGCAGGGCTATGGCTGGAGGAGAGGAGCTGTGCCCAGCCTCCCTGTGACTCAGGCCCCACTGGCTTCCAGCCTCCCAGGCCTCACCTGGCTGGCGGCAGCCTCGGCTGCGGGGCCGAGGTCTGCGTGGCGCTCGGCGTGGCCTGCCCGGGGGGGCCTCTCCACGGGCGAGTTGCGCCGGCGGTAGAAGAGGACGTAGGCGTAGCGCGTCACCACCTGGCTCTCGTCCACCGTGGTCACCGTGCTGTCATCAAACAAGCGCCAGCCTGCGGCGGACGGCGGGGGGGGGGGGGGGGGTGAGCAAACCGCCCCTGCCCGCCCCCCCCGCCGTCCGCTGGCGCGGCCCTCACCCACGTCGCTGCGCTGGCTGCTGCGGTCACTGGGCAGGCGGGCGCAGGCGGTGTAGTGGCCGCCGATCATGCCGCCGTAGTGGTTGATGACGGCGTACAGGTCGTAGCTGGGCAGCTGCTCCTCCTTCTGGCCGATGCAGAACTTGCTCAGGTCCAGGTTCCTGTGGCGAGCGGAGTGAGCCAGGCCGTGCCCGCGCCCCGCGCCCCCTCCCGGCCCGGGCCCGCGCTCACCGGACGGGGAACTCCACCAGGTCGTTGATCTTGTCGCGCCAGATGAAGCTGCGGAAGGAGAAGCGCTTGAGCTGCACGATGAGCACGTTGGGCAGGCGCCACAGCAGCAGCTGCTTGGAGGCCTCGCGGTGCTGCTTGCACTGCGGGCAGTACCTGGCGGGGGCGGGGGCGGCACGGTGAGTCAGAGGCAGCCCCCCCCCGCCCGCCGCCCCCGCCTGTGCCCATCCACACCAAGCCTCCTCGGGGGCCAGCACTTCGGGCCGCGTGAAGAGGGTGAGGCACTGGTCCAGGGTGAAGTGGCCGGCGCGGGCGGCCTCGCCGGCAGAGCCGGGGTCCTCGGCACACTCCAGCTCCTTGGAGGCCACCAGCACGAACTCCGGCTGCCGGTCGTTGTTCCGCCAGACGAGCGCCAGGCTGCAGTCCTCGTCCAGCTCCAGCGGGGCGTCTCCTGGGCGGGGCAGGGGGGGGGTCAGCTGTGGAGCCGCTGGCAGCCCCTCCCGCGCCCCCGCCCCCGCCCCGCGCCCCCGGCCCCAGGCACCTTTATCCTCCAGCCGCTGCTCCCGGTTGGACGTGTCGATCTTATAGATCAGGAACTGGGATGTGTGGGGGTTGGTGGCTTCACTCGGGTGCTGGTACCCGGGCACGGCAGCTGAGAGAGCAGACGTCAGAGCCCGGCCCCCCGCCCGCCCGCCCCCGCCCGCCCCCCCCCCCCCCCCCGCCCCGCCCCCCCCCCCCCCCCCCCCCCCCCCCCCGCCCCCCCCCCCCCCCCCCCCCCCCGCCCCGCAGAGCCTCTCCCGCCCCCCCCCCCCGCCCGCCCGCAGAGCCTCTCCCGCCCCCCCCCGCCCGCCCGCAGAGCCTCTCCCGCCCCCCCCCCGCCCCGCCCCGCAGAGCCTCTCCCGCCCCCCCCGCCCCGCCCCGCAGAGCCTCTCCCGCCCCCCCCGCCCCGCCCCGCAGAGCCTCTCCCGCCCCCCCCCCGCCCCCGCCCCGCAGAGCCTCTCCCGCCCCCCCCCGCCCCGCCCCGCCAGAGCCTCTCCCGCCCCCCCCCCCCCCCGCCCGCCCGCAGAGCCTCTCCCGCCCCCCCCCGCCCCGCCCCGCAGAGCCTCTCCCGCCCCCCCCCCGCCCCGCCCGCAGAGCCTCTCCCGCCCCCCCCCCCCGCCCGCCCGCAGAGCCTCTCCCGCCCCCCCCCCGCCCCGCCCGCCCGCAGAGCCTCTCCCGCCCCCCCCCCGCCCGCCCGCAGAGCCTCTCCCGCCCCCCCCCCACCCACCCCGCCCCGCAGAGCCTCTCCCGCCGCGCCCAGCGCCGCGTACCTTCCGGCCGGGGCAGCTTCTCCCCCGCAGGCGAGGAGCCCCCTTCCGCGGGCCCGCCGGCCAGCATCTCAGAGGCAACGCCACTGGTGCTGGGCACCGGTCCCCGGTCAGGGGCCGCCCACGCCCGGGGCACCACGTCCCCCTCCGCCGCGGGCGGCAGCATCTGGGGCTCCGGAGGCGGCAGGGACTCCCTCTCGCCGTCCCCGGCCTCCGGAGAGCCCGAGTGCAGCGCCGTGTGGCCAGGGGGCTCCAAGGCCATGCGGCTGGGCTGGAAGGGCGGCTGGAAGACGCTCACGGAATACCTGCAACAGGAACGAGGCGCATAGGAACCCTGACCGGCCACCCGCACCCCCATTGCCCACGGCACTCACCGGGCATAGCCCTCCAGCAGCTGGGCGAGGCGGGCGTAGGTGAGGCGGGAGGCGGGCACGCTGACCAGGAAGGGGAAGCCGATGTTCTCAGGGCGGCAGAGGCCCTTGTGGTCAGGCCAGTGGGTTTTCTGGCAGAGCCTGGGGGGAGAGGGCCTCTGATGACCCTGCCCAGGGGCTAGCCGCCCGCCTTCCGGCCTGGCAGGGGGGGCAGCCCGGGGCGGGCGGGCAGCCGGGGGCAGGGCGGGGCAGCCGGGGGCCGGGCGGGGCTGGCGGGGGCAGGGCGGGCAGCCGGGGGCAGGGCGGGCAGCCGGGGGCGGGCGGGGCAGCCGGGGGCCGGGCGGGGCAGCCGGGGGCAGGGCGGGCAGCCGGGGGCAGGGCGGGCAGCCGGGGGCGGGCGGGGCAGCCGGGGGCCGGGCGGGGCAGCCGGGGGCAGGGGGGGCTGGCGGGGGCGGGCGGGGCTGGCGGGCCCTCACTGGTTGCAGTAGCCCACGCGGTAACACCGGGTACAGCGTTTCAGCTTCTCGTCCTCGGGCTGCTGCTTCCGCTGGCAGGCCGCGCACTTGGAGATGGGGATGCTGGGCACCTGGGGGCGCTGGGGTGGGTCATCGGCTCAGCAAGGCCAGGCCGGGCAGGAATGCCACCCCCCTGCCCCCAGCCCAGGGCCCCGTGCCAGCAGCCCGGTCTCCCTCACCTGCTGCACCTCCAGCACCACCACCTGCTCTTTAGCCAACTCGGGGGACAACAGCTCGAAGCAGAGGAGCAGGTCCGAGGGGGACACAGTGTCCAGCGAGTGGGAGGGCAGGAACATGCGGTGGAAACGGCTCTTCACCACCTGACCCAGGGACAGTCCCGGTGAGGACAGCCCCCCAGCCCCTCTCCCCCCACCCCACACACACACACAGGGAGGATCCGGCTCTGACCCTCGCTCTACGGGGGGGTTGGGGGGGAAGGCACGTGGCAGCAGCATAGGCCTCTGCTGGCTCAGCCTTATTGCCATGAGCAAGAAGCCTGGTGCCCTGGCCGGTGTGGCTCAGTGGATAGAGCATCAGCCCTCTGACGGAAGGATCTCGGGTTCCGTCCCTGTCCAGGTGTGACATAAAAAGGGAGCCAGTGCTTAGGAGGGCCTGCGAGACCAGGCCTGGGCCCAGCGTCCGCCTGGCTCTCCCTGGCGGGGCCTGGGGGCTACAGCCTGGTTATCATGGACCACGTTCGGAGACTACAAGGGCGCCACCAGCGGGAGGCCAGTGCTGCGGGAGCACCGCACGGAGGGGGTAACCTGCAGCCCAGCTCCCCGTCCACGGGAGGAGCTGCTGGGCCACCGCGACGGCTGGGCACTGGGCGCCCGTGGTGCAGCGCGAACGCAGAGCCTCCGCCTGCTCCGCGTCAGGGCCGCCACTGCGGTTCTGCGCGCTGTGAGCCCACCGTCCACTCGCTGAGCCCGGGAGCTCGGACACACCTCGGTCAGACGCAGGTTCTCGGGCTGCACGTGGACCCTCTGTGCCAGGGCGTCCAGCACCTCGCTGGCGCTCGAGTTCTCTTTGCTGACGCTCACCAGGAACTGCGGGGACAGAGGGACCGTGGGCCGCTGGCCGGGCCGAGCCGGGCAGCGTGGGGGGAGGAGCTGTGCTCACCTTGACGGGCTTGCTGTGCGGCTCCCGGGCGAAGAAGAAGACGGGGAGGACCTTCTGCTTCTGGGGCAAGGGCACCGGCAGGTAGAGGAAGGGGTCAAAGGTGATGGAGACCTGGGGAGACACCGGTGGCACTGGGCGGCCCACAGGGAGGGGAGGCGGCCACGGGGCCCCCAGGGCCGAGCAGCCAGCAAACCATGAGCCCTGGACAGACCGGGGGCCACCAGGAGACTCCAGACCCTCCTGGTACCCTCGGCCCCGCCCACCCTCGGCCCTCCTCACGCCGTCTGAGCCCAAACAGCCGTCACCGCAGCCAGGAAGCCTGCCCACCAGCCTCGAGCCCACGCCGGAGCCCACCCTCCCGCCAGCTGCCCTGCCAGGCCTGGCCGGCCGGGGGGCCGGGAGCCACGCACCTTGGCGCACACGGGGCACACCAGCTTGGACTTGTACTGGCCCTGGAACAGGTCCACAATGAAGGAGTCGTTCCTCATCTTGTGCCTCTGCCACGCCTCCTCGGCCACCACCTGAGGGCGCAGCTTGTGAGCCGAGCCCGGGCCGGCCGGCGGGGCCGGGCCGAGCCCCCTCTGCGTCCCCCCACACCCCTTCCGCGCCCCCGACCTCGTCGGGCCGCCCGTCCGAGTCCACGGTCTCCGTGTAGGGCTTGTTCTGGATGCGGTTCAGGTCCTCGTGCAGCCCGTCCAGCAGGAAGGCCATGAACTCCTGGGCGTCGTGCTGGGCGTAGCCGGTGAACTGGCTGGCCTTGCTGGCGACGATGGCCTGGGAGACGGGAGGGCTGAGCACGGGCCTGGCACTGGCCGTGCAC